TCATGGGTACTTAGGGGCAGTGGGGTAGCCTAGTGATTAAAGCATTTGCTTGTCACGCCGAAGACATGGGTTTGATTCCCACATGGGTACAATGTGTGAAGCCCATTTCTGGTGCCCCCTGGTGTGATATTGCTGGAATATTGCTAGAAGTGGCATAAAACTAAACTCACTTGTGGGTACTTGTGATTGACATGTAGTCATTGTATGGTATAAAGTTTTCTATATCTGAGCAGTTGCAGAAACTGCAGTACTGTTATGTTAAATCTCTTAAAACCAGACTCTGATATGTATCGGTGTGTCTGGTACAGCAGTATGTCACTACAATACAACAGTACCATTGTTGATACTAGTATCAATACCTATGCATCATGAAATTACTCATCCATTGTACCACAACCAAAGTATCACACTACACGTTGGCGACTAAATATCAGACCGGAGTGTGGGTCAGTCCCCAACACATCCCAACACATACATCTCCTGCTCTGACATGCTGATGTACACCCCATTACATGCATGAGTGCTTGTCTGGCGACGTTTTTACACTCCAGCAGGTGCTTGTGTTATCTTGTATCATAGAATAGGTTAACAGACTGATGTATTTATGATAAATCAGCATCTGTGGGTAATTAGCGATGATCTGTCATCGGTTCCCAATTGCGCAGTCGAATGCTGTTGATCACTGGATGGTCCAGATGATCATTTACAGACCGCGATGACAAATGCTGAGCGGCGGACATTCATGTCGATGATGATGACAAAGCGAGGGACATCCATCATGTGGTATTAGCGTATAAGGTCTTTCGTTGACTTGAACAGTGAGGATGACATCCATCAGTTGCTAGATACTTGATGTCAGTAGCATTCTATGATTTTGATCAGTTGAAGCCTGTAAGGTGACAGTTCCTGAGTATTGCTACAGTTCTGGTTTAAGGGGCATACAACGTGGCTCAAAGCTTCCTGTCAGCCTCAGTATTACTACAGTTCTGGTCCCCACATGGGCACACAACCTGTGAAGCTGCCATTTCTGGTCAGCCTCAGTATTGCTACAGTTCTGGTTTAAGGGGCATACAACCTGACTCACCCCAACCTTCCTGTCAGCCTCAGTATTGCTACAGTTCTGGTTTAAGGGGCATACAACCTGACTCAATCCAACCATTCCTGGAATCAGCCTGCTTTGGTATCTGCCAGCTCATGAATTAAAGATTTGAAGACGGAAACAGTTGTAATCTGGAGTGTCATGATATGTTAAACTTTCAGCGAATTGCAATTGTTTGCACTACGTTATCAGGGTGTCAATAGGAGATCCAAAATGCCAGTTTATTGTTGACAGTTAGTTTAATAATTGATAGTTACAATAGTTGCAATTTGTCATAAATAAAACACGTCGTGTAAATTTCAAACATGACTTATGGTTGGCATGGCTAACTAAGCAGATTAGAGTTACTTCCCCCTGGGCACATTGGAGTAGTTGTCAGGCCACATTGGATAAAGATGTGAAAGGGAGAAAATATAGTTGTGACATAGTAACTATCCTCCAGTTGTCCCTTCACACAGTCAGCTGGTGGTATCAGGTGTGTATCAGTTATTTATAAGTAATAAGTAAAACTGAATGTGTGGTACGTCAGCAAATGAAATTAGAATGGTTGTGATTGTTTGAGATACCGTCTGTGTGAAGTCTAATTGGTTGGAATTGTTTTGAGATACCGTCTGTGTGAAGTCTAATTGGTTGGAATTGTTTTGAGATACCATTGTTTCAAATGAAGTCACGTTGACCCTGATTGTTTATCAGATATGGACAAAATGTTTAGTTTGTTATGATTGTTATGATGAATCGGTCTAAAGCAGGCCGCAACTTCAAAGATGAATAATAATAGTAGGTCTTTAATAACAATGAGAAATATCATATACTAAACAAATGTGTCTCTAATGATAATGTACTGTGTTTGAATTCTTTATCAGGAAAAACTATTACGCTGTGTAATAAGCTCAGCAAGGTGAACCTGAGCAGTGATCTTGGGAGAGGTATATGTGAGCCCATCTATTCATCAAGTTGGTATGTCACTCAGTCCCAGGCTGCTGTAGCTGATGTTTGTCCCCGGGGTGCGAACCCCTCCTCAGTCTGGACTGCTGTCATGGATGCATCAATCACAACATCGCTGACGGAGCTTTTTGTCTCTGTACCGTTTGATCATCAGCGATTAGTCTTTTGGTGTCATCTCTCAGTTCAGCAGAAACAGTTTTTATGTAGCTTTGTGTATGATGATTCATCAAAAAGGAAGAGGTTTGAAGGATAATATGATCCTTGAGTGATGGGACTGCTGGGTGCTGGGACAGAGATTGTGTGTTGAGGAGGATGTGTCGGTGGAGGGCGATATGACAATATTGACATAGGAAATGATACGTGTTGTATTTCAACATCCAGATCATATGGAGTACAGCAAATGACTGGTTTCGGGGATGCATCTCGTGGGTAGTTATCTCAAGACACACTGATGCAGAATCGTGTACCATCAGAGTTTACATGGTTTCTGTGCCTTGAGATTAACTACCCACAAGTGATCATGTCAATCATGAAATTGTCTGATCCAGACTCAGTTATGACACAGAAACCATGTAAACGCTGATGGTACTCCCAATGAATCTGCCAGATTGACACGTTTCTGCATCAGTGTATCTCAGCTGTCACTTGAATAGGGTGTTATGTTAATTTGTTTGTCTCAGTGTTGTTTAATACTGCACTCAGCAAAAGTTACATGTCAGTGCTCCGTAAGTAATGCTCTGTATGTAACTGAGTCTGGATCAGACAATTTTGTGATTGACATCACGAACATTGATCTACCCAGTTGGGACGAAATGACATGAATCAACCAGCTCAGCGAGCCCAGTCATGTTAAGATGCTTCTGACAACAAGCATGGGTTGCTTCACACTAGCATGGACCTTCATGTGTTGAGAAGGGTGATAATGAATGTGGGATGTCGTTATTAGATGTATCATACCAGCTGTCAGATATAAGCTTATTGGATGTGAGTGATGGATGGCTGCAAGAAGGGGGTGATGGAGAGTCTCACGCCCTGATGCTTGATGGAGATGAATGTAGAGTTATGATGGATGCCCTTACAAAGGGTAGGAGGAAGAGATCAACTTGAAAGCAGGCTCAATCTAAGTCAGTCAATTAGTAGATGATCGGGAATGTTTCCTTGTTGTCAGGATGAGAGGCTGTTTGACCAGGTGTTGGTACATCCAAAGATAAATCCCTGCAACGTTGATGTTGAGTCAGCCAGATAACAACATTTCACTCCCTACATCATACACTCTTTATAGGTCAACTGTATGATGTATGATTTTGTGTGTGCGCTTGTGTGTGCAGGGTTCATGGATGTAACGATACAGTGGTTGTTTATATGCAGTGGTATACAGCTGTTTATATGCAGTGGTATACGGCTGTTTATATGCAGTGGTATATGGTTGTTTATATGCAGTGGTAAATGGTTTTTTATATGCAGTGGTATATGGTTGTTTATATACAGTGGTATATGGTTGTTTATATGCAGTGGTATGGTTGTTTATATGCAGTGGTATACAGTTGTTTATATGCAGTGGTATATGGTTGTTTATATATGTGGTTGGTATATGCAGTGGTATTGGTTTTATATGCAGTGGTATATGGTTGTTTATATGCAGTGGTATATGGTTGTTTATATGCAGTGGTATATGGTTGTTTATATACAGTGGTATATGGTTGTTTATATGCAGTGGTACACGGTTGTTTATATGCAGTGGTATATGGTTGTTTATATGCAGTGGTATATGGTTGTTTATATGCAGTGGTATGTGGTTGTGTATATGCAGTGGTATATGGTTGTTTATATGCAGTGGTATGTGGTTGTTTATATGCAGTGGTTTTTGTATGTGGTATATGTGGTTATTTATCACGGTTGTTTATATGCAGTGGTATATATGGTTGTTTATATGCAGTGGTATACAGTTGTTGTTGTTTATATACAGGTTGCTTATATGCAGTCATATGTGGTTGTGTATATGCAGTGGTATGGTTGTTTATATGCAGTGGTATTGTTTTATATGCAGTGGTATATGGTTTGTTTATATACAGTTGTTTTTTATGCAGGTATAACGGTTGTTTTTATGTGCAGTGCAGTAGTATGGTTCAGTGGTTTATATACAGTGGTATATGGTTGTATTTTTTATATACATGCAGTGGTATATGGTTGTTTATATACAGTGGTATATGTTTTTTTATGTGCAGTGGTAAATGGTTTTTTATATGCAGTGGTATATGGTTGTTTATATACAGTGGTATATGGTTGTTTATATGCAGTGGTACACGGTTGTTTATATGCAGTGGTATATGGTTCTTTATAGGCAGTGGTATATGGATGTTTATATACACTGGTATATGGTTGTTTATATGCAGTGGTATATGGTTGTTTATATGCAGTGGTTGGTATATGGTTGTTTATATGCAGTGGTATATGGTTGTTTATATGCAGTGGTATATGGTTGTTTATATACAGTGGTACATGTTTTTTTATGTGCAGTGATAGATGGTTCTTTATATGCAGTGGTATACTGTTCTTTATGTGCAGTGGTATATGGTTGTTTATGTGCAATGGTATATGGTGGTTTATATGCAGTGAGTGAGTTTAGTTTTACACCGCACTCAGCAATATTCCAGCGATATGGCAGCGGTCTGTAAATAATCGAGTCTGGACCAGACAATCCAGTTATCAACAGCATGAGCATCGATCTGCTCACTTAGGAACCGATGACATGTGTCAACCAAGTCAGCGAGCCTGACCACCCAATCCCGTTAGTCGCCTTTTGTGGCAAGCATGGGTTGCTGAAGACCTATATTCTACCCTGGATATTCACGAGTCTTTATATGCAGTGTTATACAGTTGTTTATATGCAGTGGTATATGGTTACTTATATGCGGTGGTATACAGTTGTTTTTATGCAGTGTTTTTTTCTTTTCAGTGTGTGCTGATAGGGTTGGCCAGAACGAAGAGGAAGAGTCTGTTGATCCAGTTGTCCTGGCAACCGACAAACTCCAGAACGATCAGGTATTCACCCGAGGAAATGATTCTCATAAAACCATATATCAAACACTTCCGAGTACAAATTGGAATCCTTCTATTTGGCTTTGTCTTAATTGACAGTTTATGTAAAGAACACTTGATGTAAAGCACTTGTCACGTATTCCACACAACAATCAATACTTACAAAGAATGTGATATATTGGATATTGACTTTTATCAGATAGGGAAGTAATACTTAGTGCATACAGACGAAGTACTGTCCATGATTTCCTTCTGTAAAACCACTTCTAGAACAGAAGGAACCGACCAGTATCACTTTTGTAACGTGTACATAACTCTATTATACAGAGAACTGTTTCATCTACGTGACCAGTTGAACATTTAGCTTTATTGATAAGTAAATGAAGACAGATGAACTCAGGATTAGGAAAGTAACAATAAATAGAACTAAAGATGTATTGCAACGTTTCTGCCCTGAGGCTGATTATTCAACAGGAATTGAAAAGCGCTGATGGTATTCTATCACTAGTATGCATAACTATCAATAGTTTCAATAGTTCCTGAAGGTCATGAATATAACATCAATAATGTATGAGAACATTCAGATTTACAATCAAATCCTGCTGCGTACTGAGTTGCAAGCGATAAGATAATTTCAGGTTTGAGTATTGAGAGGGACGATAATGACCAACTGTATTTACATTTTCAGCAGTACTAGTTTTCATTTCTATTACATTGACTTGTATGCTTAACTAGCCGTAATGTCAGTGTATGAAATAGGCCCGTCCGACTGCACGAGACGGTCTAGATTTCTGACGTACGGTCTAAATTTACAGCTAGCCAGCCCGATGGTCTGGTAAATTATTTAGATGTTCCATACATTTGAGTAAATTCACCATATTTGGTCTGGTTAAATCCATTTTGAAGTTACCAGCCCTGATGTCTGGCTGGATTTTTGGCTTATTTCCTACACTGGTAATGTAATACTACCTCATAATAATTGCAATGGTTGACACGGGGTGAGGGTCATTCTGTCAGTTTGGTTGACAATAATCATTTTGCTATCAACTGGCAATGTTGCAGGTTCACTGACATTCAACAGTTTGATAGCTGACTTCCTTCTGGATAACATGGGGACTTAAAATGTCATCAGAGACAAGAACATTCCGCTGTGCAGCAAAAGCTCTCTGGCACACGCAAACTGTTCAAACAAAACATGAAAGACAGCATGTCTTAAACTGAAGCCTTTCTAACAAAGTAACATAACTACTTTTAAGATATACCAAAACTTTCATTTTCTTCACCTTATAACTTAAATGACAATCGTAAATCTTGCAGAGTTCAGAGTACGATGGTGAGAACCCTCTGACAATCAACACTGACTTTCAAGACGAAGACGACGAGAATCCTCACACAAGCAACACAGACTTCCACGATGAGGAGATTGTGAATGAACTGTCCAATCAGCTCAGTCCACATGTTTCGCCAACCAGTATTAACCACCTCGAGTCACACAGCGGCCCTCCCAGCGAGGCAGGGTCGTCACGTCCTCCGTCCCCAAGCAATCCGTCCAGCTTATATTCCCCCAGCCAAAGCTACCCTGTGTTCCCGTCATCTTCCCGGCCCCAAAAGAGGGGGGCAAAGGTCAGCGAAGAACAGAAGGTCAGAAGCATTCTCTTCTCATCCAATCTTGTGTGAAATGATGTCTTGATCACTGTCATATATCTTCTAAATAATAATGTAATAGTGTCATTTTTGTATAGATCTTTACACCATTGTCAAACCAGGTGAAGTACGAGACAAAACAATTATGGATGACAACTTCTTTATTACACTCTAGTAGACCTGGCATAGATCCTTCTTGAAAACTGTATAAGCCTCTAAATATTCCAGAAGTATTTCTATTACAGTATTACAGGTAATAATGAATTTGTTATCCATTTGTCTCCTTTACCATAAACTGAGATGTAAGTTTGACTAAAGTGCTGAACATTTCTTTCTACATCGCACAGACAGTGGAATAGCTGCAATACTGTTCACACCAATGCTAAGCCTCCCTCCCTCCCTCACTCACTCGCTGCCTCTCCTTCCAGATTCTCCCGGTAGCAGGTAAAGATGGCCTTGCCAAGTTCGTGTGCCCCGTGTGCAAGGATGAGATGAGCACACTACATGATCTCACCGTCCACATCCGCCAACACAACTCCACCGCCATCAGCTCCAACTCCGCCAACAGTTGCACCATCTGCGGCAAGATCCTCAGTTCCCAGAGCTCACTGGACAGGCACATGTTGGTCCACTCAGGTAAATAGAATTAACAACATCAATCACATAGTCAGAAGACATATGATTCCATTCTTCAATCTGAGCGCATCGTGAGCAAGTGTTGATGTATGTTTGTTTGATGTTTAATGCTGCCGTCGGCAATATTTGGCTATATGGCAGCAGTCTGGTACTGACAATGCAGTTGATAACATGAGCATCGCTCTACGCATTTGGGAGGTGATGACGTGTCAACAAAGTCCGCAAGCCTGACCACCCAATCCTGTATGTCCCCTCTTATGAGTGAGTGAGTTTGGTATTACGCCGCTTTTACCACTATTCCAGCAATATGACGGCGGGGGACACCAGAAATGAGGTTCACACATTGTGCCCATGTGGGGAATGGAACCTGGGTGTTGGGCGTGACGAGCGAACCCTTTAACCATCAGGCACAAACCTGCACCGCCCGCACGCACGCACGCACACACACTTATGACAAGCATGGGTGGCTGAAGACCAATTCTATCCCAAGTGTTCATGATTCTCAGGCATAGTGATGTTTTAGAGTTTCTGCAGTTTCACAATGTAGATGTGTTTCAACGTAGTTTTCCCTTCCAGGTGAACGTCCATTCTCTTGCCGAGTATGCAAAATGTCATTCACTACCAACGGCAACATGCACAGGCACATGCGCATCCACAGCAAGGAAGCAGAGCTCGGGATGATGCATGGTGTCAAGTCTGGCTCTCGCCGTGGCAAGGGAGGATGGCGCCCTAAGACAGTTGTGCACCCTTCTATGCAAGACCTTGATCTCAGTACTAGTGAAGCTGCCTCAAGATTTCTTGAACGGCCGCCCCCTCAGTTTGCATTTCACATGGCACCCTCCGACATGCCGCCATTTGGTGGTAACAAGAGACCCTCAGAAGAGTCCCAGTGGGACCACCAGTTGTCTCTGAAGATGCCGATGATGTCTGGTGTTGCACTGCATCCTCCGTCCTTGTCAATGACAACCCTTCCTACAGTGCAGCAACAGCAACAGCAGCAGCAGCAGCCCCAGCCCCAGCCCCAGCCCCACCACCAGCCCCAGCGGCAGACTATAGAAAGCACCATTGGCCAGATTCCAGTAAGTGCTACAATGTTCTTGGTGTAAATGAAACTTTGTGATAGAAGTTATGCCAATTTGAAAAGTGTTGCACAATGTCATTGAATTGTAATACAGAATACTGTTTGTCAAAGTTTCAGTACTTGTAAGAAGACATATTTTGACATATTGTCTTTTTATATCATTATTTTGATTTATTGTATTCTCAACATATATGTAGGAATAACTGACACATTATGTGTGCATTTAGCACAAATGATAACATATGAAGGACTATTTACTAACGAAGAAGTTGATGATGATGATGATGATGATGATGATGATGATGATGATGATGATGATGTTTGCAGCTTCAATCTGGCAACGTATGCATGAAGGAGGAAGATGAGCCAGCCTTCCCAGTCATTCCTCAGCCAAACTCTCGGACCCTCATCTACCACAAGATGCTTGACCCAAATGGGGTCAAGGTCAAAGACGAACCCAACACATCCTCCACACCAAATCAAGACACAAATGAGGCTGGAATCTCTGTTGGGTTTTATGATTTGGACTTTGTTGACTTCACAAGCAACAAGTTTCCCCTGATAGCCAAAGCATGGTGCGAGCACTGTACCCGTCAGCCAAGTAGCAAATACCATCGATTTGACTGCACTGTGTGCAAGAAGGCTTTCCCTTGTAAGGCTGCCCTGCTCCTGCACACTCCTGTCCACACTGGGAAACAGTTGACTTCCTGCCCGTTCTGTGACTGTGAGTTCGTGGAACAGGATATCATGCAGACACACATGGTGAAACACATGTCGGAGCGGGGTCTTGAAGACACTCAGGCTGTCAACCCTCACTCTGTCTCACAGCAAGACTTTCTGGCACAGTTCAGCCTGGCCCCGAGGCAGCTAGTTAAGGGCAAAGAATCTCATGCCAAGAAAATTGCAAAGATTGAAAAGAGAGAAAACAATGAATATTTCCCAACACTTGGTCATGCTTTTGTACCATCTGTCATGCCCAAACCTCAAGTGTCATTGGACACCAAAGCCAAACTAGCTAAAGAAGTCGAGGATCTGAAACGTATCTACCCACAAGCTATGTTCGTACCCGACAGGTTCATTTTCTCCCCGGTGAACCAATGTCTGCACTCCCAACAACTGGGTCAGTCAATTCTTGCCGTCCCCCAACAGCCAAGAAGTCACAGCCCCACCCCCATGAGTTCAGTCACCCCACCCCCAGTGGAGTCCAAGCAATCCGAGTCCCCTTTCATTGAAGCGAGCCCTGTGACAACACCTCCACTCTGGGAGGAAGGTCAAGGAAGGTTCCCCTGCAGATACTGTGATCTTGCCTTCAACAACCAGAGAAGCCTGAAGGGTAAGTGAGCCTACCGATGCTTTTGTCAATTTTTATTTATGGAAACATGAAATATCAATGGCCAGTATGTTACATGTTGAAGAATTTCTCAACTTAGGATAGGATGATGTCAGATAATAATCATAGCAATCACAGCTCAACTCATTGTCCAAGATAATCCCCATGGAGTTACTGAAGATAAAACTGTATGGGGGATCGAGTTCCATTTCCCCTGAGCAAGTAACAACAATATTGGAATTCTCACCAAAATGTCACTCCATTTGATGAAACCATGGTTGGCCAAGTCATCTATGGTGCAACAATTCACTGTATTCACTTCCTAAACATGTCAGAAGGCTCTGATTTGGAACTCGAATTATAATTCAACTTAAAAAATGTTGTCTTGGCTTGCCAGCACGACATCTTGAAAAACCTCTGTGGCCTGAGCCACTCTCCTCTTATCGCCTCCTGCTGATAGAGCTGGAATACTGTTCTCAGTGGTGTGAAACCAATACTCACTTACTAACAGCAGTTGAAATCATGGAGTTGATGATGCATACTATTTTATCATTAGAAATATATCAACTTCCCAATACAAGTTGTAAATTTCCCTTAAAATCAATGCACCTGTAAACCCGCATACCAGAGTTTTAAATGTGTGTTGGCTGCAGAACATGTTCTTCATGGAGAGTGGTAATTTACTGTGTTCATTTTTAACTTTGCGGAAGGAGAAAGTCAGGTAAGTGTGTTCGGTGTCTGCACCTTGGCCATGTTTATTCTGTGTAAGTGTGCATGTTGTGCATCTGTTGGTACACCACCCCTATATTCCTCGGATTATACTTTTTTTTATCATTTTACCTTTTTTGTCATTTCAGTTGTGTTTCTTCTTTTAGATTTACTGTGTAGCATGTGCACTGGTCATGAAAAGAATAGCTAGTTGTTAGGAATACATTTGCTTCTTGGATCTACTTTATGTATTAGGTTGATTATCATTTGCATTGGAGTGTATGGTTTGCTTTGCCTGTACGATGTATCCTGGAGTAGACTTGGTGGTGTCTGGTGGTTAAAGCTTTGGCTCCTCACACTAAAGACCCTGGGGTCCCTTCCACAAAGCGATCATAGTGCTACAACCATCATATTTCTGTACTTCACATAGACTTGTGATAGTCATACAGGCAGAATCGCTTTCTGGAATGAGGCCAGGGATACAATGAGTGATGCTATTCTCAGTGTCTCATGCACTCCTTCGCCCAAAGCTGAATAAAAACTCAAAATAATCACAAGTTCACAATTGTTTGTTTTTTAAACTCCCATTTGAAAATGTAGATATTGCACAATATTCTCTGTGTAGTAGTAGATGCATGTATCAAAGAGGACTTGTTCTCAACTACAGTTGATGTTTGACATACCGTTCCATAAATGACTTGTCCCCAGGAATGTCAACTGTCAGTTGTTAGGGAAACCATACAATAATGACATTTGTGTTATATTTTGTGATTAAATTAAACAATCAATATGAACTTATGAATACAGATAAGTGATTTTATACAGAACGTAATGCAGGTCATAACTAATGTTTCAAATTTTCAGAGCAAATGTTTAGAACAATGAGGGTTTTAATGTATTGAGAGTAGCACTGATCCTGATTGCAATGAGGTAATTGGCTGGTACATGACCACTAATGTGGGTGCTCTCCTTGTACAGGACATACACGTTACACACCTGGGTCTGGCTTCTACAAAATGCAACCTGTGCAGCTACTCCAAGCGCCGACAAGAGCACCCTCATCCGACACCTGCGCATTACACAACGGAGAGCTGACCCTTCCAGTGCCTCATCTGTGACTTTGCCTTCACCACAAAAGCTAACTGTGAGGAGGCATGTCAGGTGAGAAGATTTTTCAGACTTACCAGGCCACAGTAAGCAGGCTTTTATTGTCAGTCCTGAGACTCTGCAAAATAGCTGCAACTGGACCATTTCCCACCCTTCACCAGTTAGGCCGCACCAATTTTATTTCTTGTTTTATGGCTTTTTTCCTAAGAAAACCTAAAGGCAGGAGGGAAAAAGTCTAACAATATAAAAATAAAATAAAAACAAAAAGTAATGTTCTTTTTAAGTATTAAAAGTATTTTACTTTTGGCAATTTATGAAGTGTATATGGGGCAAAAACAATCTAAAAAAGATTTTCTTGAAAGTTTACATTTTTGGCCAATAAAACATTAGGATTTAATTTTTGAGCAGGGAAAATTAATAAAAAAATTATTTTTCCTTATCCTGACTCATGCTCTTTTGCTTGTCTTCTTCTTCTTGCGAACATAGTGGAACACTTGTATCTCCTTATTTGAAGCTCCCTTCAAAATAAAATCACTAATTGGTACTCACCACGAGTTGCTCCCCTTTGTCTCCCCTGGCGGGAAAAGGTGTCGCCACCCTCTGGCCATGTGCTTCACTCTCTCCTTCTTCGCCCAGTGAGCAGGATGTGAGAGCGCCTTGTGTCTCCTTACACACATATCCTTTGATAATCTCTTAGTTTTACCTCTCATAGGTTACTATAGAGGTATAGCTAGTATCCTTTATTATTTGTATTGATTAATTATCGTATTTCTACTGTTTATTCACTTGTATTCGTGATTGTTCAGCTAGCTTTACGTTCATGAAAATCTGTACGATTTGTAGATTACGTTTTTCTGCCTCCGATCCACATGTAATATGCCCTAGTTGTTCTACGCGTGTCGTTTAATTCACGTTGCAGTTACTGCATTAATTTATCTCATTCTGCATTTAATAAATATCATCTTTAAGGCGTCTTAAGGCGTGCTGCAGATAGATCACGCAAACAAAGGGCAAAACATGGCAGAGAGTCCAGATATTCCTTCCAGTCAGCTGCTAGCGATCGACTCTCTCCCGCCTGGTGTTCTGCTAGAGACCCCGCGCAGAGGAACGTGGGACGCCAGTCCGTTACCTCGAAGAAAGCGACCGGCCTCCCAGACATCCCGCCATTGCAGACTAAGTCTAAGAGGGCCTCATCGTCCGTCTCAACGCAGATTGAGGACACCCAGGGCAGCGCAGACTTCAAAGGAAATCTCACGAAGACAGCAAGAACTTTCTCAGCCCGAGATCGCTCCAGCAGCAGAGTTGGGCCTCTCACGATGATCAGCCGATAATCATCCCCGACTTACGGCAGAAGAAGCTGACGGTGTCAGCGACTGTGACTTCTGCAGAGATCTCCATGCAGCCTGATGCCTCTACACCGCATCGTCAGACGTCATTGATGTGAACCCCATCGCTTAGAAAGGCGCCCGACTTGACTTCGTCACAGATCATCCCAGAAGACATGATGCGCAGATTATGAACATCATGGAGGACCACTACAAACCGCGCAAGCGAAAGGGTCCGAGAGTTTCGCCGAAGGCTCCAACGTGAACAGCACCCCAGAGGCACCCCCGTCCAACGTAGCAGCCAAGACGATGTCACCTTCGCGAAGGAAGTCCCGCACCACCTTGACGAAGGACCTAGATGTACAGCCTTCGCGAAGGCCAGCCGCTGGCGGGGAGAGATCATCACCATCTTCGATTTCATCTCTAGATATGGACTCAGACCATCAGACATCACGGAAGCCTTCGCGAAGGTCATATCATCGATCCCCCGGACCGGACGCAAATGAAGCTTCGCGAAGGCATTCGCGAAGGACATATGATTCCAGATCTTCATCATCTAGAAGAACATCGAGGGACTGCGAAGAGCTTGAAGCTATCAACATTCACCTCACAAGTCTCTCGAGAAGATCATCCCATAGACGATCTCCACTCCGCTCATCACCAGGTCGATCACCCATCAGATCTCCACATAGAAGCACAAGTCAACTAGATCGCCACAAACCTCATCAGATATACAGACAGCTACACGCAGTCCCGAAGAGCATCTACAATTTATTAATGATGATGGTTTTGAGGATGATGGAGGAATCATATTTTCTGATGCAGAGATACGGTATTGGATGGTCAATAACCTAGATCTCACATCACCATCTAAAAGTGGCAATACAGCTCAGACGTATTTGATGAAGGAAGATGATCCAGATGCAATCACTCTACCCCGATCGACCGATTAGCGGCAGTGCCACAGAATCTAGATGCAGCTTTCCAGAAAGCTCACGAAAGTTCAGATACCACATCTGCCCAACTTTCAAGCCAAAGAAGTTCTCCACGCGATAACATGGACTCCTTCTACAAGGCCCAGGACATCGATGAGAACTATAAGATCATCAGCGATGTAAAGAACAAGATTTACAAGATGGATGATCGCAAGTTGGCTCATATAGAAACCATGACGAGGCATTATGTTCTTTGGGTTAAATAGATCTAGGACGATCAATGAGACTCTTATTACTAGATTCCGGGATTCCACGACGGAAGATGATAGAATGATTTATTCTGCCTTACTTATGCAAAGAAAGATCAGCAGTTTTTAACGGATCATCTTACATCTGTTTCAGCAGCACTGACCTTAGCTCGTCGTCAAGGCCTCCTCGCCTCCTGTAATTGGGGGGAGAACTTTACAGCCCCACTTTATACAGCCCCGTGGTCGACAACATCCATCTTTGACGGAGAAATCGACAAGGTCGCCAAGGAAGTCTCTAAGGATTCCAGGGAAGTCCTTATGATTAGATCGATGGACACACTAGCCAGCGTCATTCGTCAGACTTCACAAAGATACTCAGGCAGATCTAAGTTCACGGGCCTACAAAGAGCAAGAGACAGGAAGATAGCCAGCTCTAGAGGTAAAGATTCTTTTAAATTACGCCAATATGGCAACTATAGAGGAGGATCAGGAAGAGGCAGGACACCCAGAGGTTCCCGCAATTATAGACGCTGAAACACAGGTTCGGAACGACTGGAGTCTTCCACCCCCAGCCGTTCCAGTACAACCAGCTCAAGTGGGTGGACGCCTCCAACTACACTGGGAAAACTGGGGAATACTGCAAGATCCTTACGTCTCCAACATTATTCAACACGGATTTCGTATCCCTCTACAGGCCAAGCCTCCGCTGACAATCAAACCCCCCAAGTTCGATTTACAAGCGCAACAACTACCAAAGATAAAAGAGGCTGTTTCATCACTCCTATCCAAGCAGGCCATAGAAGTAATAGATCAAGCAAACGTCGAACCAGGTTTCTACTCCCCAGTTTTCCTAGTTCCCAAGAAAAACTCCACGGAGAAATACAGACTCATCTACAACATGAGCTTTTTCAACAAGAACTATCCACGCGAAACCACCGAAGTTTCGCGATGATACATTTACCTCAGTTACGCCAGATGATTCGGTCCTATGGACTACATGGGCAGCATAGATCTACAGGATGCCTACTTGCACATCCCCATTCATCCCGATTCCAGGAAATACCTACGATTTACTCTAGAAGGGCTACATTACCAGTGGAAAGTACTCCCATTCGAATATCATCAGCCCCTGGCTATTCCACGAGGATAGCGAAACCGATTATCAAATTTCTACATCGTCAAAGGGCTACGCAGGCGCGTTTTACCTCGACGGACGGGATACAAGTAGATCAAGATCCACTGCGTCTCAAACTACAGTTAAATTACATCATAAAGCTACTAACACAACTAGGTTGGTTAGTAAACTTACGCAAGTCGGACCTAGTACCATCGCAAGACCTACAGTTCCTAGGTATTCGATTCATCACAAATCGCGAACCGTATTATGGTACCAGAAGACCGTTGGCTCAAGATACAACAGACCATTCCACCAGCTCTACTCTCTCCGTTACCACCACTCGCCAATGGCAGAGCCTACTAGGTCTTCTCACATCAGCCCAAGACATGACTGTCACAGGCAGATTACAGTTCACGCCCCCTACAGGTCCTCATCAACGACATCTCAGCGATGTACAACCATTCAGTCTACCGAAACATCTCAGACCACATCTACTATGGTGGACCAAGAAATCGAATGTCTGCGAAGGGATTTGTTTAGCAGAGCAGGAATACAAAACCCATCTGTATGTAGATAGCGTCACTCCAAGGTTGGGGAGCTCATCTCACCAACCACACGATATCAGGGTTATGGAATCAGCAAGAATGCAAACTCCATATAAACAGTCTAGAAATGAAAGCTGTAATCAACGCCATTCTACATTGGAGCACATTTCTACAAAATGGCAGCCTAATGATCCATACAGACAATTCGACAGTGGCGTTTCTACATAAACAAGCAAGGCTCAACGAGATCGATGAACCTTTTGAACCTAAGCTTTCAACTGTTCGATTTAATACAAGATCTAAATCTACATGTCAGAGCAGTGCACATTCGAGAGCCAGAAATATACTAGCAGAAGCTCTCGGCCTCATCTACCATCACCGACAGAGTGGATGATCAACAGGGAAATTTTTGCACAGATAATCAAGCAATTAGGAGCTAATAGACCTATTTCGCCACGCGATTCAACAATCAGCTACCGACATTCGTGTCACCAGTCCCAGACCCCAAGCTTGGGCAACGGACGCTCTAAGTCTATCATGGAAGGCCTCAGTGCATGCAGCGTTTCGCGCCAGCAATAATACCTCAAGTATTACAGAAAATCAGACAAACACAGAGCCTACAACTCACTTTGGTCAGCCCTACTGGTCGGCCAGAGCGTGGTTTCCATACTAATTCAAGAAATCGGGTCAACCAACACTGGAGCTACCCAAGCGCCGCAAACCTGTTAATTCATCCTCACACCAAACAAGTGTGCGGAAACCCAGCAATGTTCCAACTACGCGTATGGACTGTATACAAATGTGTTTAAACAAGAGAGGATATTCTGCCAGGGCGGCAAAAGCAGTCACGCTTTTGCCTTACGTTACTCAACTCGTAACTTATACGACGACAAGTGGCACAGTTTCGGAAAATTATGCAACAAAGAAAGGGTTTACAGCAAGAGAGGCTTCACAACCTCAAGTGGCAGACTATTTGTGTTACCTACGCCAAAACAAACATTTAAAAGGTTCAACGATATCAACATATATCTTGCAGCGCTTAGCTCTGTAATCACCATGAGAACGGGTGTCAAATTGACAAGATCTCCAGAGTTACTGGCCTTACTACTGAGCGTTCGATTGGAGGACCAAAAGCGGAAGTTCCACGCCCCAGCTTGGGATCTGAATGTAGTGTTACAACACCTCACGAAAGTGAGGTCTATGAACCTTTGGAATCGACAAACTTTGAATTTCTCTCACAGAAAACATTGTTTCTGCTATCGCTAGCCACAGCAGCAAGAATGTCTGAAATTCACGCTCTGGATTACGAGGATACAGTTTGATGACAATCATAACACAGCGCACCTCGGATTAAGATGGGATTTCATTGCAAAAATCAACTGCCAGGTCAACCAGACAGATTATTCCACATTCGGCGCTATCCTCTATTCTCGGATCACAAGATACACAAGACCTATCACTGTGTCCGGTAAGAGCTCAAAGTTTATTTCTGACGATCCAAAACAAGGAGAAGATTTCTCAAACGTTTATTCATCCCATTATAAGCCTCTGAATCAAACAGAAGTGTCACGGACCACAATATCTATTTGGATAAGGACTGTCATTCTCCGTGCCTACAAGGCAGCAGGCTTGGACCCACCAACAGCATCAAATCCACATGAGATCAGGGCACTGGCCTCTACCCTCGCCCTACACGGTAACTGTTCCTTGAACACGATTATGGAAGGATGCTATTGGAAATCTAACATGGTATTTGCTAATCACTACCTAAGAGACATCACTACAGAAGATGTCTCTGGCATTCACCATTCGGACCACTGGTCCTCGCTCAGCAACTGACAGTCCCTCAGAGGGCGTTAAAATATTAGCCTCACAAGATTAATATGTATTTTATACACACTCATCTAGCTTATAACTCTAAGGAGTTTTAGGGCTATGTATATATGTTCAGCTTAAGTATTCAACCTTAAGCATATACTTGGATATAGTCAATTTCAGTGCCTCTATCAGAGTCACCTATATATATATATATATAATTTATATGTATTGTTCAATATATTCATAATGTAATTTCCTTTAATGGCTTTATATAACCTATGGTTTTCTTTATACAGGAAACATCCTAAATCTAAGGCTTCATGAAGTTCCCGTAGGGAGATATTACAGTATATCTATACAAAATCACTAATTATAAATCCAAAGTATTCTGTTACCCACCTCCGTTCCATTAGGATGCTACAAACAAAAGAGCATGAGTCAGGATAAGGAAAAATATGTAATTTTTAGAGTAAAATTGATATTTTATACTTATCCTGACTCATGAGGTTAGCTCCCTCCCATCCTCCCACATAACACTTTGGATTTCCCTGTAAATTCAAGTGTTGGGCTCGCTAAATCAGGAGAGAGTGGAGCACATGGCCAGAGGGTGGCGACACCTTTTCCCGCCAGGGGAGACAAAGGGGAGCAACTCGTGGTGAGTACCAATTAGTGATTTTATTTTGAAGGGAGCTTCAAATAAGGAGATACAAGTGTTCCACTATGTTCGCAAGAAGAAGAAGACAAGCAAAAGAGCATGAGTCAGGATAAGTATAAAATATCAATTTTACTCTAAAAATTACATGTTTGTATACTTGAAAAAAACACGATCGGCAGATCCATAAAAAAAGAAATAAATTTGGTCTGGTCTTATTACATTAAACTCCACTTTTTATTGTATGGATTGTTTTCGGCACGATATGGCTGAGATATTGCCGATGTGACGTTAAATAGTAACTCACTCACTCACTATTACATTAAACAATGATACATTGATTCATCCCTACCACCACAATCTGAATTACTTAGTAGTGAAGAAATATGAACCTTATTTCTGGTGTCTCTGCTCCAGGATATTTTAGTATTGCTAACATCAGTGTGAAACGATGAGAACTCATTTAATCACTGACTCACTCACTCTCATGACAGAAAGAAGCATGGCAAGCTAATGAAGGAAGACATTGAGCAGTCCATTGGCTACAACAAGTATGTAATGGACACAGCGTCAAGCATGGACGCCTTCCACTCCCCCGACACGGTCTGCAAGTACTGTGGCATTGACTTCAAGTTCTTCCGAGCCCTCAAGCACCACCTCCGGTCTCACAGCAGCTGCCGACAGAAGCCCTTCCTCTGCCAGAGATGTGATGTTGGCTTCTCCACCAAGGCGAACTGTGTCCGCCACATCCAGAAGCAGCACCTGGAGGTGGGCCAACACCAGATCGAGGGCTTGATCCACGTCAATGAGCCTTCCATGATGGATGACATGGAGAGAGTGACCAGCGACAGTCAGGAGTCGGCCAGCCCAGCTAGTCTCTCCAGTAGTGGTAACTTCCAGGTAAGGAAACGAGATGTTGGGTATACTTGAAGGTACAGCTGGCTAAGGCATCTGTTTGTACAGTCAGGCAGACTTTCATGCCCCACACTGTTCAGTGCCATGTTTGACCAGAAATAGTACTGCGAAAGTGATGTAGGACATCCATACTGACAAGCCTATTAAAATTAAATCTCCCAAAATATCTGTTGTCCTTACTCAAGGCTTTAGCCGACAACATTTCAGAAAACATGTATGTCAAGGTTATTTATCTGTCGTGCGACAATGACTCACTAGTGTAAAGTTATTGAATATTTTCAAGATATATTTGTGTGTGTGATGCTACGATTGTGATGCTGACCTACCTGTGTGTTGTAGGTTTCCCCCAGTCCCCCCGCAGCACACAAGGTGGAGCCGTCCTCCCCCACTCCTCCATGCTGGTGAAGCTGGAGCCACACCTCACCTGCACCCAGCCTCTAGACTTCAGTCTGATGAACTCTCCCTTCACCCCCACCCGGGGGCTCAGTGCATGGCTGACCAGCCTATGGATCTGTCTGTCAAGAAGAGGTCACCTTCACCAAATGCATCTGGGAGTTACGTCTTATGATTCAGTGCTCAAAACTTGCCTCCACATTAAGTATCACTTTTGTTAGACCTGCCTGAGGACCTGAGGAGATGTAGACCTTATCGACACTCACTGCAACATTAAATGAAATTCACTCACTCAAACTCATAACATAAATGGCAGGACATACTACAAAAAATACTGGGTTTTTTGTATTCCATCTTGATGCTCTGCAATATTTTTATAATTCCATCTTGACACTTCGTAATAATTCTATTTGCAGCACTTAAAATCAGCCCTGCAAAGTGGTGAGCTCCCCAACAGGTTCTTGCAGTTTTCCCCTCCAGCATCCGACCACAGTCAGAAGGACGAGTTGGATGAGGATGACTTTGTCCTTGTCAGCGACAACAACAACAACAACGACAAGCACAGCTGGGAGATATCTCCACTGTCCATGAAGGAGAAACGTAACAGGGAGGCCAAGAAGATGGCGTTCATGGCCAAATACAGGATGCACTCCCCCAACTCAGGTACAGCTGCTCATGCCAAAAGATGGATTTTTTTCTTAACATCCGTATCTTTACCTGACCTGATTTACAGGTTGCTGTGATAAAGCTGAAATATTGCTGAATACAGCGTCATGGTTACCATAGCGACTGCATGACGTGAACATCTACTATAAGGAATAATGTCATGTTTCTAGGTGGGGATTCTGTGTCCGACCTTGCCTCAGTCCACAAGATCCTCAACAACACAGGAGCCTACAAGTTCAACATGTTCCTTGGAACCAGCTGTGATGCCGAGGAGGAGGACAAAATGTCAGCCTTCAGGAAGCAGCTAATAAACACTGCAATCCACAAACACACATCCCCATGTGACTCTCCCTCCTCCGAAGCCAACAGGGGTTCCCCTGACAAGGGCTCGGCTGAGTCGGATGTACAACTCCTGGCTCAGTCATACAGGGAAGACGTCAGGAGCAACATGAAAGAACAGCAGCAGCAACAGCAGGAGGGGCGAGGAGGGCGATGAAGAGAGAATGTGGTTGACGAGGAAGAGGAAGATGAAAATGGGGAGGAGTCAGGCTTTATTGATGACCAGGAAGAAATGGATTCCAGCAAGCATGGCATGGATCTCGATGTAGGTTCAGGTTGAATTCATGCTAGCATGATTTCATCAACTGTTGTTTGTGCTAGATCTGAAACATCAATGCCTGTTTCATTTATCTGCTGAAGCAGATTCTGTCATGTGTTAAAGGCAGTATAAGCAGTGGAACAAAAAGTCACTCACTTACTATGAAATAGTTTTGGTCATGCATGTTTAGTTAACTTTGGAGCTTTCTGTAAAACCTAAAGACTATTGTAAATATTCTGTTCCCTTAGTCTGTTCTTCAAACTTAGAAATTTGTCATGGCTTCTTGAAGTGCTGAAGGTTTTAACTTTTCCCCAGGAGGAACATGATCTAAGCAATGGACTGTTCCTGAAACACCAGTGAAGAAGAAGCGTGAATTCCCTCACGCAGACTCCCCCACAAGTTGGCATGTCCTTACTGCCCCCGGTCATTTCCATGGGTCAGCTCACTCAACAGGCACCTACTCACACACACAGGTGAGGAATCCTTCTGTGTAAACTGTGTAAAAAGCACTTGCTCACAAACACACAAAAGTTAGGGATTCTTGTTAACAATGTAACAGGGTCCTGCTCAAACTCAGATAAGGAATCCTTGTTAACAATGCAAAAAGTCTGTGCTCACATCAACAAGTTAGGGATCCACGTTAACAGGGTATCAAGCACCTGCTTTCACAGAGATAACAAGTACCTGCTCACACAGTCCTTGTTAACAGTGTAACTAGCACCTGCCCACACACAGATAAGAAATCCTTGTTAACTAGGTAACATGTACCAACACACAAACACAAATTAGGGTCATTTGTTAGTGTAACAAGCACCTACTCACACACGTGTGGAATTCTTGGTATCTGTGTGACAAGCACCTGCTCACACTCTCCCAGACTACACAGTTCAGTGTCTGTTTTACTATGTTGATCCTCCAGGCCAGAAACCATTCAAGTGTCCTCGATGTCCAGTAACCTTCTCCACCAAGTCCAACCGAGAGCGACACCTCATCGCGCAAACCACGGAGTGAACATGTTGGACCCAGCCTCCCGACAGACCATGGACAGACCATACAAGTGTCACCTTTGTGTCTTCAGCTCCTTCTCAACTGAAAGTAGGTCCAGGAGTAGCTAGATTTGCATTTACATGTAGGAAAAACATGAATTGTATGCATAAAAACACCTATACTGTTTGTATTCTGAGGGGCTTGTTGGCTACATATGTGTCCAGGAACCTCAGATCTGCCATTTTTGCCCAGTATGAACCATAATTATATTGTCTATATGTATTTTTGACTCAGTAAATTGAAATTGCCATACAGATGAAGCTGAGCTTAACATTGATGGCTCTGAAGTCATGTCAGTCAGCAGATGGGTTAGCAGTTAAGAGATTAATTGTAAGAAGCTGGTACATAGTCAGGTGAGCTACAGTGCCTGTGGCATAACTTGCTATTTTAGGTGTTTTGACAAGACACCTCATTGAAGGTCTTGTTCCAGGCAACTTGTTGAAGCACTATCAGGAAAGACACAGCGGAGTGAAGCCCGAGCCAGTGCGGAGGGATACCCTATAGAGGGAATGGAAGTGAAGTAGGCAAAGGTATCGACGAGCGATGATAGCTTCTCTGGCGATGACACAAACATGGTGAGGAGCATATTCAGATAATGCAAAGTATTGATTATTGTTGTCTATTTAACATGGTTCATTCTTGGCATCATTGAAAGATATCAACTCACAGCAAGACTATATTGTCTGTTAATTTGAATTGATCAGAAACTATGTCAAAATAATTTTCCAGATCTCTGTCAAGTCCAATGATGCAATGCCAGGTCCAAGTCCTGGTGACAGCGGTTCCGATCTGGACCAATCAAAAGCTGACATGTCCGACTACAGTTCATTCATCCAACAGTACACTTCAGCAGAACTCGAAGGTCAAGTTCAAGGTGATGATGAGGATGATGATGAAGACATCATTGCCTCAGCAGGATCTGGTGAGCGACAAACAAACCCAGAGCGAGACAATTACAATGTGGACAAAATCAAACATTGCTGGAAATGTGGAAAGTCCTTCCCATCACGTAAGATGCTAGTTCGTCATCTGAAGGAACATAATATCGACCTGCCCTTCAAGTGCTATCTCTGTGATGCCTCATTCGACCACAGGAAGGAGTGCCTGCTGCACCAGGAGAAGCACCACACCCGGGACTGGAGCGTCCTGAGGGGAGAAAAGAACAGCGTGGGCTGACATTGACTGCTTTGCCTCCAAGATGGATGTGGTGGTGGGCGTCACTGCGGGCTGGGAATGGAATCCTGGTGGAGGACAATGACGAGGAAGATGGTGGCGAGGAACCCATTGAGTCTGTCACATCCGACTACAACCAGAGGAAGGTCTACTGCTCTCTGTGTCCTAAACGCTTCTGGTCATTGCAGGATCTCCGGCGACACATGCGCTCTCATACAGGTGAGTCCTCTCAAGCTTTGTAATACAGACATTGGTGGAGGCCTGATGGTTGGAATCTGTAGAGATTTGCTTTGGTACATTTAAGAGTTGAATGTAATACATTGACACATATGCTTATTTTCTGAAGTATTATAAACATTAAGCTTTAACAGGTTAATATTACTTTGTTGCTTATGCAAGGTAACATAAGTTTGACATCTACCATAGATAAATTTCCTGTGGTACTACAATTATCAATTTAAATACAGATATTAAGTAGTATCTGTTGTAGCAAAGTACCACCAATCTTGATTCAGGAAATTTGTTAAGTTGAATATGCCATTCATAATATGTTCTTGTATACCATCCTGTGCTTATCTTCATATAGAAGTGAGGAGTTATCTCCCTTGAAGGTACTTATTATACCAGTACTATTCAATATACACTGGCCTATATATTAGGTATGTACCACCCTGTGACATGAGTCTTGTGCTGCTGTAGGGGAGCGCCCCTTTGAGTGTGACGTGTGTCAGAAGAGGTTCACTTTGAAGCACAGTATGATGCGACATCGCAAGAAGCACCTGCCTGGCTCCCTCTCCCGCTCTCTCTCCCCTGCATTCAGTGATGATGAGGACATTGTCCATAATGAGGAAACTGTTCTGCCTGGTCAGTGTTTATGTGGATTACCAACTCATTCTTTGTAAATTGTGCCCCACTGTAAATCATTGTGCCCACTGTATGTCATTGTGCCCCCATTTTGTGTCTCTGCTACCATGACTGTGTGTCATCTAGACTCCTGCTCACTAGCTTAACTTTCAAACTTAGGACTTTTCTACAATTCCAGTTTTCTGAAATCAAGAGGTATTTTACCATTGCAGTTAAGCATTGCATTCAACACATTGACAGAGCTGTTCCTCACTGTGTTATCAGTGCAATAAAGCTCACCACTTTAAGTCTCTATATGTTTAATTGTTTACATTCCAATTTGGAAGTATTTGCTGAGCTAGTGGACATATATCTTGGAAGTAATAAAAGCCATTATATTTCAGGGCCTGAACAATTAGAGGGAGAAGTGCTCTCCGTTACCATCTGACCACAAACACAAGGAGAGATAACCCTGTCGTACATGTTTCCAGGAGTTACACCTTGGATAAGATGATGAAAGAAGTTCAGAATTTGTGAATAATGAAAATATCTAACAGATGTATTTCTTATCTCATCCTTTGTTACAATGTAGTTTGTTCATAACCTTGATTCTGAGATAAAGTTTCTCAATGCCTCTTTTACAACTGTCATTGTTTACACTGTCTCTGCTACAGGTGTTTGTACCTGAGAGGACCTCCGCCAGCATGGTGCCCCAGATGAATGGGGGGAGTGATGACCATGACAGGGATGATGACATTTTGCACAACCTCCTGGGAGTGGACGAGTCAACCATCAACACTATGCTGGACTCGGCTGATTCTGCAGCCAAGATGCTGGGCTTCAAATAAAATAACATGGACGTGAAGATGCTCCATGTCCAAATATGGAGGAAGGTGTGTCCCTGTGTCATTGTGTGATGTCCTTGAACCTTGTCTGAACTGGCTGAAGTCTGGTTGGGAGGCAGATAACACAAGTTTCATATAACGGATGGCGTCAGGATCCAGTAAATATGCAAATGAGGTCTTCCAGCAGGAACTACGTCCATCCAACGATTCAATGTCTGCTTTATGCAATGTGTCTGCATTGGGGTTTTCTGAGTTGTGGGTGATTTTGTAGACAAACCTGGCTGCAACTCCTATGGGACTATTTGACAGTTGAGCCGCTTTACTCAAGAACTGTATACAAATGTAGTTCTTTGGGTGAAAATATGACTTAAACATTAATCATTGCCTTCATCTGTTTCTATAAAGTCACCATAAAAATTCCAATGCCTGATCTTGGACACATATTTTACGGAGAAGGTTGATCTCTGTATGTCTGGTTGTGAGCCCATGATCTTAATGATTTGTCGAAGCCTGTTTTTGTGACTTATGGTAGCTGTGCTGAGCTGGTGCTATACTATAGGTTACAACACCTTGCTGTCAGCTGACTGACTCGAATGATAATGCCATAATCTACCCTGTTGAATATAGAAGTATTGCTGGCATAATTAAACTGTGGTGAAGATTGAGTGATCAAGGGTTGCCCTTGATATTGCCACCAGTGTACATAGTGAGAGCTGGACATGTGGTGCCATCTTGGAACATCACAAACTTCCATATCCCAGAGGGAATTGTTTAGCGTTAGACCAACTGTGTCCAGATCCCCTACTGATCCCCTACTGACGTTCTATATTTAAACCAAAGCCAGGATATGTATATCTTGCAATATGCAAATATTATCAGCAGTATGCTTTTTACATACATAGTATTTTTGCTTGTACAAGTTGACTTTAGCTGTTTGTGTTTGGGAGGAATGTGTCTTGGAGTAAAAGCTAAATTATTAAAACCAGCATTATGATGTGGTTACAACGGTTATATCGTGGTTGTGTGTGCAGCATTACAAAGTTGTTACAATGTAGTACTGCTGTTGATACAGTTTGTTACTTTATATCTGTTTACTTTTCGGGACAGTATCCTACTTAAGTGGACTTGTCACGTGTGTATATATTTGTATAAACTTGTGAAACATTCCTTGTTTACTACTGGTATAGTGTATATTGTGTTATTATGGTCCTTGTCTCATGTGAATATGCCTTAAATTCGTCCAATTAGAGATAATCATTGAAGAAGTTGTTAATTTATAGACTTGATAATTTCCCAAGGAATATATATTTATTTGGTTATTATCATCATACAGACATCATTCCACAGATTGTGATTTTATTACTGTAAATATTTATTTTATATTTTCATATTTAATGAAATTTGTCATTTTTACAAATATTTTTGTATTCATTACACATATGTTGATGATGCTGAGAGCATCTGGATGTGTCCATGCTAGAGAAATGATCTGAAGAGTAGACTAGGTTGTCAAAGTGCCTTGAGACGTACAGCTGTTTCCCTATACTGTTGCTGTGTTGCTTACACAGAGCAAGACCCTCAGCTGCTTGTCGTTTATTCTGTTTAAGATTGTCTTGAAACATATACATATCTAGTAGGGATTTAGTGCTATAAAGTTATCCCGTCAAATTTCAAATTGATTGACTGTTCCAAGTTTTGCTCTGGTATACAATACATGTGTAGTATGAGAAATGCTTTACATATTTCATATGTAAACTTACCTAGATGTTTTGATTAGCTTCAAAATAGCCTAAAATGGATAGTATGAATTTTCTTGATTTATTTGTTTGAACTACAAGTTTAGGAATTGCTCTAATCATATTTGATGAGTTCAAGCATTATTTGTTCTGCTTCCAGAATTAGTAGTATTGCCACAGAGTATGATTTGCGAATTAGCGTAGTGTAGGATCAGGCCCAAGTATTTCATCAGCATTACAGGAGTATTCACACATGGTTTATAGTTTTAATATTGCTCATATTTTGGGGATGTCAAACTCAGTTTTGCAATAATTTCCTCTTTTTTTCATCCCACTTTCCTAACATTTTCAACTAGTATTACAGTTTTTTACTCCTCCGACGGTCGTTACAGACAAAACTAGATTTAGATGTTTTGCGTTCTATAAATGGCTTGAAGATAGTATTGGAATATGCATAATGTATGGGAGTGTGTTTAACTTATTACACAAGTGTTCAGTGCCTATTGTGTGGCAGCAGATAAGCTTTGTATTGTCAGCATTTACAGCATAAATGAAATTGTTCAATCATAATGAAATATATTTTTTGTTTTATAGAATACTTTTTGATTGAGAAATTCATGTCAATATTTTGCAATATGTGTTTGATCTGTTGTGTATTTGTTGTGTTTTTTTAATGAATTTAGAGATCTGAGACTTAGTATTTGGCAAATGTTCAGTGTCGCCAGTAGACTGTTACTAACGTGTTATACCACCCTGTTATAGCTCAGTCTGTTCTTATATAGCCTGAATTTTAAAAATTGACAGAATGGCTGAGCTGTTTTCTTTCATTTCATATCAAGTAATTTTGTCATGAAATATTTAATTTTCTTTTTAATAACAATTTCCTTAAGAAGTTGAAATTGACAAAAAGTTCTGATTGTGTTAGTGCTTCAATTACAGAATGAACATATGTTGCTGGCTGGAGTGATAGGTTTAAATGATGCATACAGTTGTACAGTATTTGTTATAAGGGTTTATGTACAGTAAATAACTCCAATTGTGTGTCCACTCTTGCCAGGAGCGCAGTTGCCTCAGTCGTCTAAGGTGCCGTGATTTGCTGTGCCGAGATAAACCAGAAACGTACAGTCTTGAGTTCAAATCCCGGTCTGATGTCTAGGTAACCATGCTCAAGGGTTTCACCCCATGGTATTCAACTCGGCGTCAGTTATGGCTTTCCTCTCACATCAAGGCGACATGCTTTAATTTGACAAGAATAATGTTCAACGCAGCATTACACCCAACTCACACAGCAACTGTGATCTGTAAACTGTATGGTATTCCCATTGCAGTTCCACTGTATGATGTGAACAGACTACATCTGACATGTGAGTGGAGGTTGACTGGTGTGTGGGGTGGTATAACAGTAATAGTGTCCTGCTGAGGTTACTGTTCATTGGCTGAGTGTTGGTAGTGTTCTGTCACTACTGTTACCACATACAGCCAACTGAACTATGATTATATAGCACTTTACACACCTATAGATGCTTTATGTTCAGGTTTAATTTAACACATACTAAGAAAGTTGGAAGGTATGATTCTCAACTATTGGTATATGCTAGTGGACTGTTAATGGATAAGGGTAGTATCGCCATGCAACTTAAAATGAAATAAATGACAATTTGACGATGATAGGAACAGTGAAAGCTAAACTATGAAAATAGAAATCAATCACATAATTCATTAAATTGACTTTTTTAAGCTTATTGTGTATAAGGATTGTTTAGTATGCAAATTGAAGTTCATACAGAAGTGGAGGATATGATATTCAGTCACAAAAATTGAAGCCAAGATCTGTTTTATTAAGTGAGGATCAATCTTGACAGTTGTAGTAAAGTGTTCAGTATATCAAGGATATAATCAACTGGACTGTCCAGTGTCAATCACATATCTGTGTTTTGTCTGAAGGATATGTGGGATATAAATCAGTTATCTACCTTCCAGTGAATCAGTGCCAAGCCGTCAACCAAATATGCAACATCTTTATGCCATCATGTGATCTGATCATGTGAGATATTGCCACTATGTATTGTCATAATTCTTTCATTTTTGTCAAATATTTGTGACCAAATCTCCATTAATTCATTTTCATAATCAGGGTTTGAAAAATAACCACAAGATAAGCTAATACCTGAACCTTCTGCATTCAGACCTGTGAACAGTTTTACAAACCAAAGGCCATAAGTATTTTTCTCATTAATTTATGAATAAAACAGAACATTCCCCAGTGATGTATCACTTCAGAGATCTAAATCAGTTTTTAAGATGATTATACAAATTATCTATAATACATTTACTTTTGATTTTCTTTCAACCTACTGACCAAACTTTTCATTGTCCAGCTCTGTAAACCAAATATTCCCATATCACTGGCCTTAGTCATGTGGGCCCGATAACTGCAGGGGAGTTAACTCCTAACATTATATGAGAGAGACTGTTAGGGAGTTTCACGGTGACATATATGACCCTCACAATCAGCACTATATGTGGCTGACACATAACTGATACTGCGCAGGTACCGATTGAGGTATGTTGAAAAATCAGCCCAAATATATGCAATCAGTAAGATTTGACTTTTGAAAGTATTATGCAAACTATACTGCTCAACTTTTGATAAGAATACACAATGTACTGAGATACTTCATGCTACATCATCTATATTTGTACCTTGATGGTGTTGAGTGCTGCTTACAATATATAACACTGGATTGCCAAAACCTGATTGGTCAAAAGTTGATTGGTCAAAAGTTGATTATTTATGGACCTGTCATATAGGTGGAATTCTGCGGTATCTTGTGTTAACAACAACAAAACATGAACAGATGTAAGTGGGTTGCTAACAGAAAATAGTTGGCGTATCTCAGTAAGTTGAATAGTGTATTTAGGCATTTTGTTGTTTATACGGTGATTTTAATAAATGTACATTGTGATATTAAATCTGTGATTTAGGGCAAAGTGAAACCATAATTAATCTCAAGCATGTTTTGTCAACATTATTACCACATACTAAAACCACTTGTTTATGGCTTTTAAAGGTCGTACAGTATTTTAGCTGATTCACGTACAGTAAACTTCTAAAATGAGTGTTCATCTGTTATTCATACTAGGTATTGATAACCTTCCTTAAGTATTCACACCAAAGATATTACTAGAAAACAGTATTAACATTGACCGATGTCAAGTTGTGAAATCAAACTGGGTGCCGTTGTACAAAGCGATCTTAGCACTAAGGTGATCGTAACTCCCTTACCTCCCATCGTAACTCCCATACCTCCCATCGTAACTCCCGTAATTTACGACAGTCGTAGTGCTATTGTTGCTTTGTACAACACCACCCTGATACTTAATGCTTACTACATATACGTCAAAGTATTTCCTATCTCGGTGGGGCGGTGGGGTAGCCTAATGATTAAAGCATTGGCTCATCACGCCGAAGACCCGGGTTCGAATCCCCACATGGGTACAATGTGTGAAGCCCATTTCTGGTGTCCCCCTCCGTGATGTTGCTGGAATATTGCTAAAAGCGGCGTAAAACCAAACTCAGTCAGTCCTATCTCGGTCTACAATGTTCATGAAGTGTATGTTATAAAGGTCGGCACTGTACAGAGTGTCGACAGCAGGTACTTGTACAGGTTCATGTATCCTCAACACAAAATGTTGGATAGAAAAAATATTTTGGGGATATTTTT